GATTTGGCTGACAATAACTCAACTGTAGATGGCTTGCTTGTTATAGCTAGAGAATGTTTAGATTTGAAGGGCAGTTGCTTTTCTAATCGTGAATATTTCTCTCTAGAGTTATAATTAACAGAAGTCGTGCGTTCTTTACTGAATACTTCATTCTTCAAAAAGGCTAACAAAACTTTTAAATCCCAATTTTCGTCTTTAATTTTTAGACTATAATCAAGAACAAATTCATTAGGAAGTAATTTCAAAATTAAAGGCATTAAATGATTTCCGTAGGTATCAGAGTCTATTTCTAATGCTTCAAGATTTCTTATCTGTACTTCGGCGTGATCGAGAAGTTTTATTAATCCGTTTATATCATTAGGATTTCTAACAGCTGAAATACTTAAGAGTTGTCCTAAATGCGAATTAATTACAATGTTCGTTTGACCAAATCTGGAATGTAACAGTTCAAGAGCAGCTTTGTAATTATTTTCGATGAGAGTGAAACCAGAAATATCTTTGGTGACTGAGCCACCTAGAAAGCTTTTCAAGAAAATTAATTTTTCTATTTTTGATAAATTCGGATTTTTATCAATCCCATTTTCGAACTGACCTATAAATTCTAACCAATTTGAAGGATCACCATAAAATTTAGAGATGGTTAATTTTGGAAGACGATAGAGCTTGTTACTTTCATTATGGAATTCTGTAACGGTTTCATTAGAAATGTCCTTACTTGCATTATCCGAATTTTCTAGCTTATTCAATTCTTTCAACTTTTTCTTTCCTCTAAACTGCCACACTTGAATTTTCTCTTCATATTCCAAAATGGATGAGATTTCAAGTTCAAATTCGTCCGCTTCGACTTCTAATTCTTGTTCTATTTGAGCGTCTAAATTGCTCAAGGATTTTGATTTTTCGTTTAACTGATCTAAAATTTCTTCTAATACATTTACATTTATACTAATATCATCTTTACTCAGTTCGGTTTCAATTTTCTCTAATATCTTGGACACTGCAGTCCTCAATACCTTTCGTTTTGATTTCAGCTTAGCAATAAGATCTTCCATATTATATCAAAATAGAAATTACAGGCTTACCTTGGCTGTCTTCACACTAAGTGCTTTAAAAGACACAAATTTTTAAATTGGCCAAAGGTTCCTGGCACTGATGCACCATGTCGCGAAAGGATGCTTTAAATTTTAAGTCGAAACTTCTACTGTATCTAATATCAATCTTTCTAAATGAAGAACATTGTATCTATATCTATAATTGATCTATATTCAACAAGGTCAAGTTAAATACTTATTTTACAATATATACAGTTAATTAGTTACTTAATCAACATACGAAAAATTCTACTAATCAAAGGATATGGCTTAATGCACCATTCCCGTCTAGCATCTAACTAACTTCTACTTCAGGTGAGAGCACTGCTATCTCTGTATGATCTCTGTATCTCTGTATTTCTCAACAGTTACATTAAATGAGATGCCTTAGAATCAGTAAAGATAATTTTAGCCTAGCTTAATAGCGTCCGTTATACATTATTGGCTGTGTATCACAAGATTGGTGATGAAAGCCAAGTTGTTTTGATAAATTTTGTCTTGCTCCTATTTCGTACTGAATTAAGCCCAAGTTGTATTAGTTTAGTTATTTACAACACCTACGTTTATTTCTTGCACATACTTCAATTCTAAAGTAATTCGAGTCCTGAATAAATAAACTCCCACATATACTTAAAGCCACTTATCTAGGGCCAGCGCTCGATACCGCCTGGTGCAGTCTCTACAGGTCCTAAATTCTGCTACAAAGCTCCTTCCTAAGTTCTAAATTTTCACTGTGCCTAAACTTTGGATCCCAATGCTTTCCCTAAATCATAAAACCTTCTCATCCCTTAATTTTTCCGCTCGGTGCTTCCCCAAATTCCAAAAATTTCATCTTCCCTAAATTCTGCCGTTGGTGCAGCCGCTTCTGAGTTTATGGGAAACAATATATCGGTTATTCTTAATTAAAATAGCACTAAATGTAATCTTTTGGCCTAAGCATTTCATTAACAAAATCTATTTTTAGCATATGAAAAGAAATTTTTGCTGAATTTTTCCTTGTCAACATTTCTTAGAGCATTTAAATATCTATAATCATCGCCATGCGTAATGTTAGCATAAAATGTTGCCATACTCTTGTTATTCAATTACTAATATAAAAAAAGTTTAGACATCACAGCATGAGTTATTACTGAAGTTGTCATGTTTGATAAACATGTGGTGATGAAAACAAAATATAATAAATAATGACTCGCCAGGCCGGCATCAGGGATATAAAAGATATAAATGTTTCAGTTTGAGATGTACGCCAAGTAGATACTGAGCTACAGAGCCAAATTATTAATCTCACAAATTTATGCTTACATGATTGTTTTCCATAATGAGGTATTTTATTTAGTGCCTAAGTGAAATTAAAAATCTGAATTTATAAGTGAAAATCTCCACACGTTTTATTATGGAAGGAAAAATCAAATGCGCATACATAAAGCATTAATTAAAACAATGTTTGCGGCTTTGAGGTCCGGATTTTAAATCATTCCTGATAATGGACGTCCAGATTTCAGACTTTGTACCGTACTTTCTGCATTAAGCTCGGGGCACTTCTTGATAGTAATGCCCTTCACTCATTTATGACCACAACATGTGTCATCATTGGAGCACAGAAAGGATTAGAAGATTTTACCAATTACGGAACTTGGCAGCAATCATTATCATGGTCATGAGGCCAGACAGAAGGAGAGCAAATGCTCTTGAAATACCGGTTAGTTCTAAAGTAATAAATTAATGATGAGGTTCTCAACCTTTTTTGCCCCATGCACTATTACTAGAAGATCAATCCCCCTTCCCTCCATTCCCAAACTAGGAAAACACAAATACATTTCTTTAAATTTATATTTTTTAATGCACTTTACGAATTAAGAAAAAATATAGAAAATATTGATAAATGGCAAAAATGGAATAAAAGTAATTTTTTATATTCACAAACTGAAACTAGGTACTCAACAAATAAATAAAAGGCTGACTGCATATCCCTTAAACTATGAAATTCTTCCCAATGAGGGCATTCCTCCCAGTTGAGAGCTCCTGCACTAGAGTTTCTCGCATTTCCTAGTATTATTTCGAATAACACAATTTACATGTCCCCATTGTTACCACATCTCAAACTTTCAGTGTGCCAAGTCTCTTCCCAGTTTTTTAAAAATGAAATAACAGTATTTGGGCTACTTTTGTTTATCTGCGCTATGTATTTATAAATATTATTCTAGTGCTTAGTGATTATTTTAGGTTTGAAGTACTATTTGCTATGAAATAACAGATTTTTAGAAGTTTCAAAACAAAATTTTTACCATTCCATTTATATTAATGAAGATTGCTTTTTCATTTCATGCCAGTTCAGCTTACATAAGAGTGCTCTACTTTTTAAAGCAGTGGGGAGAATGGTTCATTTTCTAAGCACAAGTTGCAGTTTTTACACATATACATCTTTTGTCAAAAACGTTTGAGGACACTTTTTTTTTTTTTTTTAAATTTCTGAGTTTGAATTACTAAAAAGGAACAAATGTTACCTGGTATGTACTTCTGCTTGACACAACCTCGGCCATGTTTCCACACAAACTTACTAGGTGGCATGATTGTGCTTAGCAATACATTATTCAGACTGTTGTCGCATTCATTAAGGAAACACAATGAACGATGATTGTCAGCAAAAAGCTAACATTTAAGTTCTGCATTAAGCTCGAGAAAACCCCCTAGTGAAACAACACGGAACATGATTAAGCAAGCATATGCAGGCGAGGCACTTTCAAGAAGTCATGTTTTCGAGTGGCACAAAAGGTTTCTTGAAGGTTCAGTGCAAGATGATGCAGTCCAAAGTTGGACGCCCATCTAGAGCATATACCAATGCAAACATGGAGCATGCACGCAAGAAGTTATTGCAAGAAGACCATCTTGTAACTGTGCATATGATATCAGAACTGAATATGAATCATGATGTATGTCATAAAATTCTGTGAGAAGATTTAGGGAAAAGGAAACTTAATGCAAGAATCATCCCTCACTCATTAACAGGTGAACACAAAGAGGAAAGATGAAGAATTTCTGCAAAATTATTGGATAGAGCAAGACATGATCCTACATTTGTGTCAAAGATTATTGTGATTTTTTTCTTGTTTCCTCGAGTGAAAAGGTGACTAGAAGGAAAGCTTCATCGAGATTATTGCAAATATCCAACAGGCTAAGACACATGAGCTTGCAAGCATCGCAGCTGAAGATTATTCCTGGTTCCTTCCAAGACCTCCAAAAACATTGGCCAAACATTGTGTATAGATAGCCAAGAGGACTACTTTGATAACAGGTAGGATCATTACTTGATAAAAGCAATTATCTATTCTTTTATGACCTTTATCCTAGAACTTTTCTGACAAAGAATGTATTTTACAAAATAAAAATTTGCTGAATTTTTTCCACAAACTAACGAAACTGAATGGCAGTGAAGTTAGCTCCTCCCTGTGGTGTTAACCATATGAAATTCTGGTGCCAGACAGATGGATGATATGGAAAATTACAGGAAACTGAACAGTGTTTGAAAAATATGAAAATTTTTATTACACACAATTCCAACTGTGAAATATATTATAAGAAGCAAAAACATAAAATCGGGCACAAATATTTACCAAAAATTCTTAGATGCTATTAAAAGCACAGGGTAAATTTATATGATGCATTAAGAATTAACATACTTTCAAAACATTCAATAAAAAATGTTCCAGTTGCAAGACTAGCAATTAATGAATAACCTGAATAATTAATGTTTAAAAAACATTAAGATAATAACAAGAAAATTATCTTCCTCTTTATTTTGAAAATTATTTATGAATAATAAATTTTAAGTTGTATTTATGTATCATAAAAATCCATGTGCTATGCAATATGCATATCATAAATTTAAGCTCTATGTATCATAAAAGTGATTACCTCTGAGTATCTTGACCATGGGATTTAACAAAATTTTTGCCATTATTAGCGACAAGAAATTTTTCCAGTGATGATAATGGCCTGCAACAAATTACATAACAGCTTACTTCTTACATATATTGAATTTAAAATAAAATACATGAAGTTTCATATTTAAATTTATATGCACCAAGATGGCACACCTCCCAGTATGACGGTTTTTACAAAGAAATCAGAGAAACAAAATATGATAATCTTACATACTATAATAAAAGTAAAAAACTCTTTGAGAAAACACAACCATTTTATTACACTTATTTTTACTTGCAAAGAAAATATCAAAAAAATTGAATAATGTCGCCAACACTGCATTATATACATACATACACATATATAATTTTCCTATATATATAATTACAATATATATATATATATATATATAATTACAAAATTATTTTTTAAAACAAATCATTGCAACATGACCAGTTGAATATACTTTATTTTTTGACAGAAACAATACTTGATGCAGCCGTACACAGACTATACTAGCACATTCACTCTTCTTTAAAAAATGCTTCTACTTTTCATGTTTATGAAACAAGCAAGAAAATTGGTAGCAAAAAACCTTACAAACCAAAGACATAGAGAAGAAATTTGCAGATCGTGGTATGAAGATCTGGTTGATTCAGTTTTGGTTCAACTTTATTCCAAATGGCTACCAGAGGTTTCAATTTACAAATTTCAACATTATTATTAGCTTAAGCACTATGTAAGTTTCAATGTTATCCCACAAATGAGATTTAATCAAAATTTAACCTTAGCACCACTGTTGAGGATAATCATAACTTAAGCCTTATCTCCTAAATAAGCCCTAGTCAAGATCATCAAATAAATGGATGCCAGATGCCAAATGTCAAATGACCAATTGAAGTGAGACAGAACACATGTGCACCCCTCATAATGAATGAATATACTTGGAATTAAGATTTTCGTAATTTAGCACATTAGATTTTTACATTTTCTGAATTCTGTACCTACAGGTTTTTGTTGCTTTTGTGTGGTCCCTCATTCTTAGCAATAGTTGTTGCCACTCCTTTCTCATAAGTATTCAGTTAGCATTTCATTTAATAATTAATTTGAAGAAAATATTCTGACGCCCCAAACAAATTATATTTTCAAGATTAAGTGCAGAGTTATTCCATAAAGTACTAGAAACGAATTATAAAAAACTTCCAAGTTAAGTATGGTCTCCAAATGATAAACCAGCCATTATGTCCTGATTGGAACATAAGATTCATGAACAGAGCACTGATGAAAAACTATTACAGTTTAACTGATTCTAGAATAGCTTAAATTCTTTTGATCTTGTTACTCACAAGGCTAATTCTAGTATAATTAAGCATTAGTCATTTTTAGTATCAATGCTGATAATGGTACAACAATTTACAAATTTGAAAACTTTTAACAGAATGTAATCAAAATACAAAAGTATCATGAAACTGTTCACCTTAAGGCGACTACTTACTTTATTGGAAAATCACTTTCACTGAGGTTAATAATGTAATCCCAGGTCCAGTTCTTTATAAGCAACAACTCTGATATACATACTAATAACATTTGCAGGAGACTAGCTCCACCCCAAATAGTAGAGAGACGGACTTGCGACAAACGTATATTTGGAAAATCATTTTCTAAAAACTTCAGTTTACGATAAAGATAATCTTGTCTCTAAAGATAAATAATAAAAATATTTAAATTATTTTGAATATTATAATAAAAAACTTCACTTAAGAAAGCTGAATTATTAAAATTGAAAATCTGTACAAAACTATAACTATAGAAAAATTGGTACTATTCCGTTTTGAGGATCTGAAAAAAAATTGCAGCAAAAATGTATGCGCAAAAGCGCCAAATCTAGCAAATGCGCCTATTTAACAGCGCGCCAAATCTAGAGTACGCGCTGATTTAAGCCTGCGTAAGTTTATATGAGTTTATATAGTTCTATATTTCTTAAGACGACATTGAAATGTTAGTTTAATTTTTAAATCCTTTTATGATATCCTATGGATTTAACAATTTGGGAATTGCCTGTGACAAAAAGTCTGCAATACAATTTAGAGTAAAGTGCAGAATCACCCATTGCTTGACACGTTTTTAAGAATTGCACGTACTCGGTATCCATGTACACATCGACCTATTTTCACTTAAAAAAAAATCCCAGAATTGCACAAAAATGGCACTGCGGTCACCCTTGACTTTATCTATGTACACATCGACCTATTTTCACTCAAAAAGTAAAAGAAAATTGACAAAAATCCAATTGTTTTTACACTTGTAAAAAGCGGCAAACAAATAAGTGGGCAATTCTGCAGTTTACCGAGAATTTTTTCATAGAAAAGGCATCATTCTTTATAGAAAATTATATTTGAACAACCAACGAGATGAAATTATGCTTTAGCGATAACTCGGTAGCAAAATAGCAATGCAGGCATCCATTCAGTTATGTTTAGCAATTTTTATATAAATTATAAAAATGATCTGAAATAGTTATTTACTGTTATGCTTCTATTCAGTCATGTTTAGCCTTTTTTATATAAATTATAATAATAAAAAAGTATTATACGAAATTAACATTTCACCTAAATTAAAACATCAATCTTAGATAGTTATTTACTATTATACTTCCTTTCTTGCATTAGGGTTGCCGCAATTATTTTTGGCAGTACTGGCATCAACAATAGTTTGGCGATTTTTTACAGCCCTCAAAACCGAATAGCACCGAAAAATCTAATATTTCAAATGTGTAATTTGGCTAATATTCTATATTTTCTTACTTTATAGCCATTAGATTTGATTTTATAAGCTTCAGTATTATAGTAGACACTTTGAAAAAAAATCACTGCCACAGCAATTAATTACCAAAATTTATTATTAATTGAAACTAACCCTATTTAATACCTCACTCAATAAATAATAATTTCATCAATTTTTTACCTCTTCTTACATTATTTAATGGACCTTATTCTGTCTGTTAAAAAGTAAACAGATCACAACTCTCCTGAAAGACATTTTCCCTTAGAAAGTCCTACGTGAAGGTTATCTCACCTCTCACTTGTGTTTTGCCATATTCAGATAATATTCTTTCTGAAATGTTTAATGTTGCATCTCCAAATACTTTTATCACTGATATAGAAACTACAGAGGGTGTTTACACATTTTTAGAATGATTCCAGTAAAGAATTTTTTTTAAAAAAAGCAAATATTTTGGAATAAAAATTTCTCGCAAAAGCTTATTATCTGAAATGAGAAATATTATCTGCTACTTTTAAATTTATTCACTACCCAGACGGAGAAAAGGTTAGTGACTTTGATTGTCCTACCAAAGGGTCCAGATTAAAATTCCGGAAAAGGCCATGGATATAAATTGTCTGTCCCTTCACAGGACGCAACAGTGACCTACCTATTATGTACCTCCATAATAAGGTAACCCCTGCTCCCGGTCTTAGTAGAGGGCAACACCTGTAATGGCTAGTGCCTGCCATTGGGGGTGGGGGGAGGAAAACCTTTTAACAGGGTTTGTACACATTTCTGAACATGGAAATTAAGGACATTTAAGGACCATTCATGAAAAAAATTAAGGACCTATCAGCAAATGGGAGCTGATTCAATCAACTTATGCCTGAACTTCACTTTTGTAATAACACTAAGAATAAAATAGATCCACAAGTAGGCTGCATTCTTATTAAACATAATTTAATAAACATAACTATAAAACAAATTTGAGAATAGAATACACTTTATAAAATTTATCAGGTAGCATTAAATATTTTACACGTATAATAGTTGGACATAGATTGAAGACAGTTTGAAAGAAGATTAGGGACATTTTATTTACGTTTTACTAACAGTTAGCTTTATGTTGATTTTTTTCTTTTACGTCTCATTTTTCCATGTACTTAGTCTAGAGGTTTAGTAAATAGCAGGTAGATTTTATGTCAAATGGCATAGGCTAAAGTGAGAAATAAAATCATGATATGCATGATTCATAACAGAAGATTGGCTGTTGCCAGTGCTGCTGCTTGCCTAGAGAGAGATCTGTTGATCAGAACAAACCTGAAAGCCTGATGTAATTTTGAGGTTGGCAAGTTTTGAAAGTTAGTTGTGCTCCATCTGTCTGATGCAGTTAGCAGGGTTCGTACACATTTCTGCACAAGGAAATTAAGTACTTTTAAGGACCATTAATGAAAAAAATTAAGGACCTATGAGCAAATGGGAACTGAATAAATTCAATTAAAATATTATATCTATGCCTGAATGTGAGTAGCTTGCATTATTATTAAACATAACTTAATTAACATAATTATTAATATTTTGAGAATAAAAATAATTTTATGAAATTTATCAAGAAGCATTAAATATTTTACACTCATAATAACTAGACATATCTGAAAGAAAATAAGTGACCTTTTAGTTACATTTTACCAACAGTTAGCTTTTTTTTTTTTTTTTTTTAATGTCTCCTTTTGTCACACACTTGCTCAGTCTAGAGGTTTAGTAAGTAGATTTTATGTCAAGCAGCATAGGTTAAAATGAGCATTAAAATCATAATCAGCATGATTCATAACAAAAGACTGGCTGTCGTCACTGGTCCTGCTTGCCTATAGTAAGACCTGCCAATCAGATCATCTACATCAGACGTGCCTGATGTAGGCACGGTTGGCAAGTTTTGAAAGGTAGTTGACCACTGTCTGACGCTGTTAGTGTCATAGCTTCATGTAGAGTTCCAGGGGTTGTAACTCAGTTAATATAATTTAAGGTTCTATTAGACCACTAAAGCATTAGCGGTGATAAGTTGTTTCGCATTAAGTCTAACTAGATGCAAAGAATAAGTTTCACATGAATTTTCATATTTTTGTGTTTTACTTTGTGACCATGGTAAAGATTTAACACGTTGAGCCCGGCGCCGAATTTGTTGTCCTTTCTGTTCAGCCGGCAGCGATCAGCCGGTGGCAATATTGCGATCAAGCGGTGCAATACAGTCAAAAGTCGTTAATTTGGACACCCATAATCCGGAATGATCTATAATCTGGACCTCAAAGCTAAAATCTTTCTGCACATGCGCCGCGTTGACGCATGCTCATAGGCGTTATACGCGTGTGCGCGAGACATTTACAACTGCGCATATGCGTCTGCGCAAGCGCAGAATACGTTTTTGCATGCGCGTTTAATGTATAACGGACGGTATAAGCTAAAATTATCTAATTATCTATTTCAGTTAATGTTGATGATTGCGCTGTTCCTTAATCTTCGAATTGGATCCGGCTTATTATTTTTTGCAGACTGTAAGAGCAATTTTATAAAGTAAGCTTGAACTTTCGATTATGTCAAATAGAATTTCCGATGCTGGAGCTCCCAAAGGATCTAGAAAACAAAAGTATGTTTCGATGTCCATCAAACAAAAAATGAATTGCTACAAAAAATGGATAAAGGTATATCCTTTGTTTATCTAACCGTTCCGAAATCTGTTTATCAATTTCATGCTGCTCTGCGGGGGGGGGGGGGGTTGCGTCGCGCAATTAACTGGAAGTTGATCTGTCAGCACTATCGTTATCTTCAGGGCAGATGTTTTTATTTTATTCGGCTTATAATTCCTTACTAAATGTAGTATTTAATCTCGATGTACTCCGTCTTTGATATGATTTAAATCAAACCTCATCATTAAAACTATCACGAATACAAATCAAATAGTTTTCTGGTTGCAATTTTCTAATTTCGGCTATGCGTAACGTACGCATGCGCGCGTTGAAAGAAATGTTTAATAAAGTAAACAAATAAATATTAAGCTTCTTTTTTTGTAAATTTTGATACTCTTTAGATCATAATCGCTCATTATTTTATAAATTACGGTTTCATTTTTTAAATTTTATAATTTCTTCATGCCACCTTACCAGATTTAAACTGATGATCTATAATCCGGAATCGCCGAAGTCCCGACGAGTCCAGATTAAAGACTTTTGACTGTTTTGCCGACTTAAATTATTCATAAATTATACAAAACGGAAGGAGGCGCACATAAAGTCCGAAAGTATTGTTCGAAATGTTATGATGACAATTCAAAACTATTTGGATGCAAGATAGCCAAAAATGTAACCAAAATAGTTGTTTCATATTGTAATATGTGTAAAGCTAAGCCGTATTTTTGTTTAGAATGTTTCAATAAATTTCATTAAAACTACTTTTGATCACATTTCATTGAGACTACACTTATTTTTTAACTTTAATACTATCAGTCCGGCGGACTGACGCCAGCCAAACAAAAATTCCAGAATAATATTTGTTAAAAAACCCTATTAATATCACAATCTCATAAAATTTCACAGTTTAAAATACATACAATTTACGACATTGATTTTTAAACAATATTAGGATAAATTACATATTAAAATCTACAACACATAAAACTCAACAAAATAATTATGCGTCTTTTTAATTTGAAGGCCTGCCCAGACATTTTGGCTAATATACAGTGATTTCCTTCTCCTTAAACATGTTTTCTAACAATAAGAAATTAGTCTCAATATGCAAAACAATGTTCTCATTAGTTTCTGCATGTTTTATCTCCCAACTGCCAACCTCTCCACAATGTACTACTTATCAGGGCTTACTTGAGCTGGTAAAAGTTAAATAGTCCAACAACCCCCCGACAGACGTGAAACAAATTATCACTA